TGTAGATGTGAGACCAATCAATTCTTTAGACAGATGGATTTTTGAAGTAGTTTCTCAGACCAGTGTATTTTCCTGAAATGACTACAGTGCCAGTTTGCTCTAAGGAAATGAATCTTCACTTATAATGCCCAAAACTGGGGCCATTTGGGCAGAGCTGGTTTCACTGTGAACTTCCCATGTCCTGTGGGGAAGGTCCTGTCAGGCTGTGCTGTGTTCTGCTTGATTGGGCACCTGCTCTTGGATTAGAAACCTTTCTTTCTTTGTAATGAAATTCTCATTTCCAAAGAGAACAAAGTTTTGGAATTTAAACCAGGCAATTAATTCATCAGTAATTACAATTGGTTTTGTCCAAAGTGAGATGCAGAACTTGGAAGAGTTAAGTCTTGCCCCTTCCATACCAGCACCAAGTATTAGTCCAGCCAGGGAAGATAATATTGCCAGCAGATGGTGTCTCTTGTGTGCCTTTGTGTGTTTTCTTTAATAATTGTCAGCTTTAGCTCACCAAAAATAACTTTCCACTTGGCTTCCCTGATTTTAATGAGCATTTATCATGTAAAACTATAGCCAGGGAGCTCATGGGCACTTTGAACAGGAAACACTGAGTGGTGAACAAGCAGTTTGTTCATGAATATGTCCCTGCTTTTGCATCTTTGTTTGCTAAAGTTGTAATTACCAGGCATAGTCCTAAATTGTTCTGCTTCTTACCTTGATAATCTCTCCTGAGAACCCTATTTTAATAGTTACTTTAAAGGAAACCTCTTGTGTATTCTGATTAGTACACCTAATTGTAAAGAGTACATTACTTTAAAAGAAGATGAATGAGCCTGTATTTTTCAGCTCAGTTTCATTTGCCTGCTTTTTTTTCTTTAGCCCAAGGAATTGTGAGAACAGCCAGTGGAATACCTGGTATTGGGACAAATTTAGAAAACAGGCTGTGTACTTGGAGATAAAATCTATTTGCATCCACAAGCTTAAGCACAAACAGAAGAGCTTTTTTGTAAAGCCAGGCTTTAAAAATCTCAGTTGTGTTGCTGCTTGTTTTACACATACCAGTGACTTTAAGTGGGGCTGGAGGAAAAATGTGCTTGATTTGCTCATGTGGAGAGTCAGAGATAGTCAAAGGGGTTGTGTTCAATTTTCTTTCATCTGTTTAGCAGTGTTTCTCTTTGAGGGTTTTCATAGGATAGCAGGAAATGTCCCACTGCCCTGTCCCAGGGAAGCTGTTACAAACATCCACTGAAGATTTGTCAACAGCTTTGATACCCTCAACATAGATTTATTTATTCAAATATAATTCCATTATATATTAATATAATGGTCCACTGTACTGGAAGCTGCACTGATCCACTTGGATTCTCCTCTTTCTGTTGGGGTGTGAGGCAGTTAATTGCTCTGACCTTTTCCTTTTCCAGCTCAGTCCTGATTCTTCAATCTGAAAACACAAAATCTCTGCTTTTACTTTCCTTTTCATTGGCCTGACACATTTTTCCAAGCAGATGTGGCTGTTGGACTGAGCCTTGTCCTAGAAAATGCTGTGTCTTTCTGCACAAAGACTGTGCCCTGTACCTGAAACTTCCATTGATAGTGAGCACAGAAGAAGAAAAGACACTAAATTTGTGTAAATTATTTCAAATTTAAGGGGTGGATCCTCAGAAATGTATCTAAAACCCATCACTGCAGTGATCTGTGCATGGTTTGTGGGTGTTTTATCAGGCTGCTGAAAGGAGATTGGTGAGGGAATTGTTAATAATTAAAAACTAAGGTTCTTGCTGTTGCTTTTATCTTGTCTGAAAGGAAAATAATTTCCTCCCCCCTGCTGAGTGATTAACTGTTTCCTTTGAAATATGTTTGCTGTGTAGCAGAGACCTGCCTGTTGCTGGCAGAAGAGCAGGGTGCAGTGAGCAGGGCAGTGTCTTCACCAGCCTGATCCCAGCTGCCTTTGCAGTTCAGGCAAAGTCCTCACAAATAAGCATTTTGTGGAGCTTCTTGAACAGATAATGTTCTCAGAATAGAATCACAGACTGGTTTGTGTTGGAAGGGACCTTATGGATCATCCAGTCCCACCCTCTGCATGGGCAGGGACACCTCCCACCAGCCCAGGTTGCTCCAAGCCCCATCCAACCTGCCCTTCAACACTGCCGGGGAGGGGGCAGCCACAGCTTCCCTGGGCAACCTGGGCCAGGCTCTCACCACCCTCACACCAAAGAATTTCCTCCTCATGTCCAACCTCCCTCTCCTTCTTCCAGTTTTCATCCATTTCCCCTTGTCCTCTTCCTCCCTGCCCTTGTCCCAAGGCCCTCCCCAGCTTTCCTGGAGCCCCTTCAGGCACTGGGAGGTGCTCTAAGGTCTCCCTGGAGCCTTCTCTTCTCCAGGCTGAACACCCCAACTCTCCCAGCCTGGCTCCAGAGCAGAGCTGCTCCAGCCTTTGAGCATCACTCCAGGAGCTCCATGTCCTTCCTGTGTTGGGGGCTCCAGAACTGGACACAGTTCCAGGTGGGATCTCCCCAGAGCAGAGGGGGCAATCCCCTCCCTGGCCCTGCTGGTCACACTCCTGGTGACACAGGACAGGGTTGGTTTCTGGGCTCCAGCACATGGTGCTGGCTCATGTTGAGCTTCTTATCCACCATCACCCCCAGGTCCTTCTCCTCTGGGCTGTTTTTGATCCATTCCCCATCCATCCTGTATTTGTGCTTGGGGTTGCCCCAACCCAGGTGTAGGACCCTGCACTTGGCCGTGTTGAACTTCATGAGGTTGGCATGAATGCAGCTCTCCAGCCTGTCAAAGGTCCCTCTGGATGGGTCCCTTCCCTCCAGCATGTCAACCACACCACACAGCTTGATGTCATCAACAAACTTGCTGAGGCTACACTCAATCCCACTGTCCATGTCACTGACAACGATCTGTAGCAGCACTGGTCCCAGTTATTGACCCATGAGGAACACCACTCATCCCTGGTCTCCATTTGGACAACAGCTACTGAGCTGCATTATCCAGCCTTCCTCCAGAAGTGTCTTCCTCTTGCATTCTCCAGGACTCTTCATGGTGCAGACTCTATCTTATTTTCATCCAAATTAACTTTCTCCTGCTTGGAGCTTGTATTTCTGTACAGACAGGGGAACATTCACAGGCACTTCAGGCAGCAGAAGCTGTCACTGCCACCAACAGATGTAGCTCCTGTCACTGTTCCCAACATATTATTTCTCCTACTTCTTGTGCCAGAAGAAAAAAAAAGCCTTCCTGCAGCATCTGGCAGGCTTGGCCAGGGAGCTGATCCAGCAGGCAAATAAGTTCAGCACAAAAAGCTGATTTTTTAAATTATTTAATTTTTTTGGTTGGATGAGCTCAAGTTCAAATTCCTGAACTTGAGTTGGTGGGGAGGGAGCTGAGCTGCTCTGCTGCTACTTACCTGTGCAACCTGGAGTTGCACAACCTGGAGTGACTGGCATGGTAAGAATAAAGCATCTGCTTCCAGAATTCATCTTGTAGTAGGTTGAGAACAGCCTGTTGCAATAAGTGTGAAGCAGTTTGAGATTCTTAGTCAGTTGCTCTCTAGAGAGATGCCATCTCCATCTTTACCCACCTGTTAACAAATGGTTTGTCAACATAAGATGATTTTTAAAGACACTTAGCTGGAAACATCTCCTTCCCCTCTTCCCAGGAGCAAACAAGTAATCCAGGGTTTCCATATAATGCCCAGGTCTGTGTTGTGAGACATGACACAGACAAGTGCCCACTGAACACCCCAAAGCTGTGAAACATGAAGAGGGTTTGTTCATCCTTTGGGTTCAAAACAAGGATTGCTGTTTTGATGAGGATTCTGAACTATTTGGCTCTCAGAACTGGAGAGCCCATACATCTGTCACCAAGTGGAGCTGCTCTGAGCCAGACACGATCCCCAGGAGGACAGCTGGTGTTGGCTAAATGGGGTTCCCAGATTGGGGCTGCAGCAAAAGCAGCAGGGCCAGGAAGAGGATTCTGCCTCTCTGCTCTCATGAGACCCCATATGGAGCACTGTGTCCAGCCCCCAACATAAGAAGGGCATGGAGCTCCTGGAGAGCATCCAGAGGAGGCCATGAAGGTCCTCAGAGCTGGAGCAGCTCTGCTCTGGAGCCAGGCTGGGAGAGTTGGGGTGTTCAGCCTAGAGAAGAGAAGGCTCCAGGGAGACCTTAGAGCACCTTCCAGTGCCTGAAGGGGCTCCAGGAAAGCTGGGGAGGGACTTGGGACAAGGGCAGGGAGGGAGAGGACAAGGGGGGATGGATTGAAACTGGAAGAGGAGAGACAGTTGTTGGCCATGAGGAGGAAATTCTTTGGTGTGAGGGTGGTGAGAGCCTGGCCCAGGTTGCCCAGGGAAGCTGTGGCTGCCCCATCCCTGGCAGTGTTGAAGGGCAGGTTGGATGGGGCTTGGAGCAACCTGGGCTGGTGGGAGGTGTCCCTACCCATGCAGGGGGGTTGGAACTAGATGATCTGTAAGGTTCTTTCCAACACAAACCAGTCTGTGATTCTATGATCTGCATTGTCTGGCTCTGACATGGGTGTAGCAGACACCTGCTGACTGGCCCAGCTGCCTGCCTGCCTGCCTAAGATGGGTTCCTGGTGCTCATTGCTGCACCTTTTTTGAGACACTGCTCATCCATCTGCACTATTGTTTTTGTGGCCTTTGTTGTAAAAATGATGAAATCCTCTGCATACTGTGCTCAACAAGTAATAATCAGTGCAGTTACCAAAAATTGGCATTCAAGAGCACTTGCAGTTCAGACAGTGGCACTTACCTTGCTTTGAAAAGATACTTTAACTTCTCAGTGTTATTCCTGACCTCAGTTGTCTGACCTTTTCATCATCATCTGTTCTTTAAATCCTCTGAGCCTTGTTGGATAAATATTAAATCCTGCTCCACTTGTTATGCAGATGATGATGATGTTGCTGCTTGACCACCCTCAGTTCTGCATGAATTAGTTCCTTTGTGGAGTGTTTAACAAAACTGGTGTGTTTTTATTTCATAGGAAGCAAGAAGAGAATCTATTGCCCGACCTTTGGAGATAAATGAAGCTGAGAAGGGGATGAAAATTGCCATTGACTGTGTTCTGGTGAGCAAAATGATACTTATTTAATTGCAAAATGACCCTTCCTCTCCTGGAAGAAGAGCATAGTTCTTGATCAGCAGGGTTCCAGAGCACACATCCCCTTCAGCTGGAACCCAGTGTTACCCCTGGTTAGTTAACAGCTCCTGTTGAACTTCAGTTAATGGCCAGTGCAGAGTCTGGTCTTCAGGTAACATCAGATGTGTGACCAGCTCATCAAGGCAGAGCTCAATCTGTGAGGACTCCTTGTGTTGTAATGAACAGCGTCACTGATGATCCTTGTGTTTTCATTTGAGAAATGTGTTCATTAAGATGAACAAGCCTGTTAGTGGGATCTGGGAGCTCTCCTGACAGAGTGCAGGAGGTGTCACCACGGTGCTGGTTGGGAGCTGGGAGACAGACATCTCAGCCTGCAGCAGGAAGGGTGAAGGACACTAGCAGCAGCACCTGGAAGAACATGGTAGGACCTGCTCTGCCCTGTGTAACTGTGTAGGTTCAGTGCACAGAAACATTCCTTCAGTTCATACAATCACAAAATTGTTTTGGTTGGAAAAGATCTTTAAGGTTATCAAGTCCAACCATTAACCCAGCACAGCCCAGGCCACCACTAAACCGTGTCCCCCAGCACCACATCTACATGGCTTTTGAAAACCTCCAGGCATGGGGATTCAACCACTTCCCTGGGCAGCCTGGGCCAGGTCCTGACAACCCTTTCCATGCATAATACTTTCCTAATATCCAATCTAAACTATTTGGCACTACTTGGAAGCAGGAAGGCTGGGCTGGCCAAGGGGTGAGAAGAACTGGCCCTGTGCTGATTAGTGCCCAGCCAGTGCATCCAGGTGGTTCTCACTTCAGAGGACCTTTTGTCTGGCCTAGTCTTGGCCACACTGTCCTTGCTCCAGTGCTTGGATTCCTGTATTTCTGAACCATTAGCTGCACTCACACTGTGGCAGTTAATTAAATCCTGGTGATTCCTGTGAGTGACTTCACTGCAAACTGTGCCCAGCCCAGTTGTGTGATGAGAAGGAGTGAAGCTCCAGGTCAGTAGATGCTCCAGGTCAGTAGATGCTCCAGGCCATCTTTCCTTATGTCTCTGCAGTCCATATGAATTCTAAATGTTGTTAATATGCATTGGTGTTCCAGGCAGGAGTTCTAATAAACTGGGAGCAGCAGAGCAATTAGCTTCTTGGGAAATGCCAGTAACTCCAACCTCAGCTGGGTTAGTTCTGGACCAGTTAATGAAATGAGTTATTACTGCTGGAATTTCAGCAGGTGTGAGTCCCCTCTGTCTCTCACTGTGGAGATGCTCATGGTTTCCCAGGGATGAACACACTGAATGTCCTCAACTCAGCTTAATAATTTGGAATATTCCCTCTTTCCTCCTCTGATTCCTGTAACACGTGTTGCAATGTTCAGGATGCTTCCCAAATTTTGAAAGGATGGTTAAAGACTTAGAAAAGGATTATGATACTCAGAGTAAGTTCTTTGTAAGAGTGAGTTTTATCTTTAAGATAATTTTCCTTGCCTGACCAGTTTTATGTTCTAACCCATGGTTATAAAGTTATTTGATAACCTGAGATGTGAGGTTACATGGAAGAACAATCAACAGCTGAGAGATCATTCTAATGATTCCATTGCAAGCCATGGTTCCCCATCCTTCTTTTCTAGGAACAAGTCCAAAAGACTAAAGACATGTTGAATAATGTGGCTTTGGATGAATCCTATTTGGAAGCCAGGATTGAAAAACAAAAATTGGAACTGGAAAGAAGCCAGAAGAGGCTCCAGATTCTGCAAAGTGTTCGGTAAAGATTCTGAACTAATTTTCTACTGCATTAAGGAGTGTCAGAAGAACTGATGGAACTGTGCATTGGTACTGCTTAGAGCAGCCAGGAGGGTGATCTGTCAAGACACTGAGGTGAAGACCTGTGGAAGAGAGATTCATTTCTTTAGAAATGTCCAGCTGAGGTTGCAGTCATTCAGTTTTCCACTCCTGTGTATTTGAAATCAGAATTTCAGGGCTGTTTAAAATCAGCCAGAATCTGATTTGGTGGAGTTGCTTCATTGCTGCTTGAGCTGTATCAAATGACCAGATAGTTGTGTCTTTGCCTTTGTCATTAAACATTGATGGTGTCAGGTAAGTTCTCCTGAAAATGGCAAATGGTGCAAACATTCCTCTGTTCCCCAGGGGCTTCTACCATTCTTAGCCACCAACACAAAGAAGTTCTTGATGCATCTCTTGATAGGATCCATTCCTCTAGGCAGTTATACAGCCTGCCATCAAATAAAGAGTTATGATTCACAGTTTGGGGTGATTTATTGCCCTTAATTAAGCTGCAAATTCATACAATCTGCAAGATCATGCTCTATTTTTGACCTCATGTGGGAAAAAAAAACCCACAATGATAATGAAATATTAGATAAATGAGTGGAAGAAATGACATTGATTTACAGCCATGTTTTGATCAGTAGCACGTTGGAGGAAGTGCAGTGGGTAGATGTGAAGCATCAAAGAGCAGGAGTGTTCCTTGGGTTGCAGCAACTGGGTCTGCAGGGCAAGGTCATCATCATCTGTTGGTGACAGATCTAGTTATGCTGGTGACAACACGGCACACTTTGGTAGGGAGTAATTCTCCAGCAAAGTAGGTGATTTACCAGCCATGCTGCAAGTTAGCTCTTTGGAGTCATGGCACAACAGGATCATAAACTTAGCTTTGCCTGCCAAAAAGGTGAAAAGGCTGCCTTTCTGCCCAACAGACCAGTGCCATCCTGAAGGCATGAAGAAGAGTGTGGCCAGCAGGTCAGGGAGGTTCTCCTACCCCTCTGCCCTAGTGGGGCCCATCTGGAGAACTGCGTGTGGTTCTGGGCTCCCAGTTCAGGAGGGACAAGGAGCTACTGGAGAGAGCCCAGCCCAGGGCCACAGAGATGCTGAGGGGGCTGGAGCATCTTCCTGTGAGGAAAGGCTGGGAGAGCTGGGGCTGCTCAGCTGGAGAGGAGGAAGCTGAGAGGGGATCTGATCAGTGCTGGTCAATATCTCCAGGGGGTGGCAGGAGAGGGGACCAGACTCTTCCCAGGGGTGCCCAGTGACAGGACAAGGGGCAATGGGCACAGGCTGGAGCACAGGAGGGTCAAGCATGAACATGAAGGGAGGTTGTGGAGTCTCCTTCTCTGGAGATATTCCAAACCCACTTGGACATGTTCCTGTGGGATCTGCTGGAGGTGACCCTGCTCTGACAGGGGGTTGGACTAGGTGACCTCCAGAGCTCCCTTCCAACTCCCAACACTCTGTGATTCACAGATTTCTGTGATACACAGAAACTTTTCCTTTGCTATATGGAGTTTTTGCAGGAGAGTTTAATGAGGCTTTTTTTATCTGACACTTGGAGTCTCTGAAGTGTGAAACCTGAAAAACAAAAGGTCCTTTTAGATGAGCAGACATGGAAAGGCAACTGCAAAGCCCCAAAATGCTGATTTCAGAATTCTTCACAGATAGGTCAGTATTTCACTGAGTAGTTTTGTGCTTCTTCTCTCCAGTCCTGCTTTTATGGATGAGTATGAGAAGATTGAGGAGCAGCTGCAGAAACAATACAGCACTTACCTGGAAAAATTCCGGAATCTGACCTACATGGAGCAGCTCCTGGATGATCAGCGACAGACAGAGCAAGAGATGTTTGAGGTAAAACAGCTTAGAAATGCTCAGCAAGGCTGCACATCCTGTGGTTCTTGGCTTTAGAACAGAAAATGTTGTCATGCCCCTTTGCCCAAGCAGCACATTTTGTAGAGGCAGCTCTGAGGGCGTGACAGTTTGTTGACCACTCAGGAAATGTGGCTGCCCTTGGACAAGCACAGCACAAACCAGCTTTCTCTTTTGAGACAGTGAAGTTAAACCAGTGTAATAATGCCCCTTTCTAGTCCCTGACTCCTTTTCAGTTGGTGAGTTTTATTCATGAAGGATGTTTTCAGTATTTCTAATCTTCCTTTTCCTACATGTGGTGGTATTTTTCTCACCTGCCAACAAGTGATGTATGAAAGTTTCTCAGCACAAGGCTCTTTGCTTTCCTCAGCATGGTCATCTCCAATGAGAAGAGCAAAGAGCATCAGTGGGAAGATCAGGCATGCTGGAATCCCTGCTCACCCAGACTTCAGTTTTGTTTGGCAAAAATTGGATTTTCTGTTTAGTTGTTGTGTTGTATCACTTCAGTGCCATTCTCCACTTTGTATCCTGCTGGATAATCTGCACCTGTGACTTGTCTTGCTCCAGCTTTCCTGTGGCTGTTTATCAGGCTGCAGTGCTTTCAGCTGACCTTTCATTCTGCTTCCTCTGGCTTCCCATTTTATTTGTTGTTTATCTCATCCTTCTCACAGTTGTTACCCAGTGCATCTTCTGTTGTTCACTGAAAACATCTTTCAGTCAACTATCTCCCCTTGGACCTCAGCACTGGTGGGTGTTCTACACCTCCAGTTAGCCAGTGTTTCCTCTTGCTGACTCATCCTCTCCTTCATATGCAGATCATGTATTATTTTGTCAACACAACTTACTCCTGTTCCTGGCAGAAATATGGGAGAGCTGTGCATAATGTTCCTTCTCTTTGGCCATGACTGCATGTTTCCTGGCTGTGTGTCTCCTGATATGAAAACCAAGTAGTTTGACCTCAGTTTTCTTAGTCTTCTCCTTTAAAGTACTCATACCTGTGTGTATTTATAGTGAAAATGTGTGACCTGTGCTTAGACTGCAGATAAGACTCAGTAACCTTATAGTCCCTCTTCTATGAGCTGCCTGTGCTGCATCTGTGAGAGCTTTTTAGAAAGCCTTGTTGTTCTGCAAGATTTATTGTGCTGAGAAGCATCCCCTCCTCCTGCTCTCTGTTCCTGTATGTCTAAGCCACACAGGACAACATTCATAACCAGGCTGCAGGCATATCCTCTTGAGAACTCTCAAATATTTTGCTTCATTCTGGAAGGGATAATAGAACATGTATTTTAAAAGATAACACAGGCATTTGACAACTTGTTAATCATTGTGAACCAGTTTCCCATTAACCTCCCTTTTCATAAGCACTCTCTCTGTAGATGTTACTTCACATATTTCTAATTTGCACTCAGCTTGTTTTCATGTGGCTTGTTTTGTGAGGTTCTAGTTCTTCCCCATATCTTTGGTAAATAAAAAAAAAAGTCCTCAATTAAATCATAATCTTGAAGCCTAAAATCTGCTTTCCCCCTTCAGTTCCAATGCCATTGAGACTTAATACCAGAAGTAGAAGTGTTTTGAACAGACCTACCTGAAACTGTTTATGAATTCATGCAGAGAAGTTAGTAATGAGTTGGTGTTCAGCTCTTCAGGGTATTTCTTTAAAGCCTTTGTCTTGTTATCTTAGTCATTCAGGGCTGTGCTTGTTCTTAGAATGTGGAGAGCACTTCTTTTTCTTTTCCTCCTTCTTTCTCTGAAATACCTAGAAATCTACCCAAAATGGCTTGGCTTTTCATTGGCTATGATAAGCAGGGAACAATGCTTCAGCACTGTGCAGAATGAAGGGATTGTGACAGAATTCAAGCTTGGGACAAAAAAAAAGGTGTGTTTTTCTCTTTGCACTCTTGTATTACCTGCTCTGTGCAGCCTGCATCAGCAGGCAGAAGAACTAGAGCATCTTTAAGATGTGTTTTATGCTAAAAGCAAAATGCCACCAGGTCTTCTGCAGCTGGAATGTGTTCTTGTCATGTTGGGCTGTACTTGGGTGCCTTTAACCATCACCTCAAGTTCAAGTTGCTTGTGTTGAACTCTGGTGAAGGCATTGTGGTAGTTTTAACCAGCATGAAGTTTGCCTGCTGAGTCTGGTTCTACAGCTTGAGCTTAATCCTGAAAGTACCCTCAGATCTTTGCACTTCTCTGCCTGGATATCAGTCTGTTAAAGCTTTTCCCTGAGGGCTGTTTGGGAAGATCCAAAATAAAGAAGAAAAATAGGTACATTGGACAGTTGTACTTCAGAACTGAAGAGAGAAGCATGAGGATCCAGACAGAAAATTGGTGTATCTAAATATACTCAGAATATTTAAAAGATGAGACTGTGCCCATCTCATTGTGGGCAGCAACCCAGGGACTTGAGGAGCCATGACTGCTCTGTTGTAGGAGCTGTTGCTTTGGTAGGAGTCTGTATGTGCTGTTTTTTTCAGGAATGCTGGAGTCCAGGCTATTTTGAGTTACCAGTGCTCCCAGTCAAGCTCCAGGCCTGGGTAAATGAAAGAAGATGAAGAATCTGGTTCCCAAACATCCCAAACCAGATTCCCAAAATCTCCAGGTCTCCCAAGGGACTTGCTGGTTCACTCCTCTTTTTTTTGCAAACCAGTGGGAGGACCTTATATTTTTTCTTTTAGAAAGATGACACATTGTTGAACCCATTTCAGATGAGTCTCTTGCCAACCTGGAACACCAGGGTATTTCTCTCGCTTCTCAGTCTTGATCTTCTTTGCAGGTGGTGCTTCATGGCTTTGTGGAGCAGAACTGTGGGTCAACATGCCTGAAAAAAAAAGGCAGTTTGTTCCAAAACATTGCTGCATGTTTTCCTAAAGTTTATCATCTTGGGTCATTTTCAGAATCAACAGACAGAGAAGTGGTGAAGATAATTACATATAATCCATTTTAATAGATGCTCTCTGCAACTGTCAAAAAACACTGAGCAATGGGTTCATTATTTTTTTTTCCAACCTTGATTTGTCTTTTGTTCCACCAAACAAATCTTCATTATCTTCTGTAGTAGAAGTGAGAGTCAATTCTTTTATCATCACTGTGTATTTTGTTAAACAGCTTGCCAGGAAAAAGCAGCAGTGTCATCAGATTAATCCAGCACTCCAAGTGCTGCTCAGTCCTGATTCCTGGATCCCTTTCCTTGACTAGGTGCAGGTTTTGAGGAGGAATCTTGGTTCTGATTGAGAAACCTGCTGAATAATGAGACTGATTAATTCCTGGTGCACAGAGACTCAAAGCTGGTTTAGTGCCCTGCTGATGTTGTGTAGCTAATGACCTGGGCCAGAGTGCATTTCCTAATTAGAAAAGTGATTTAAAGATTGTACCCAAGCACACCATTTTAATTAAGTGACATTCAAACACTCCAGCCTGCAGTGCTGATTGTTTGAGTGGGTTTTTTGGGTTGGTTCTTCCGTCTGGTCGGTGTGCAGTTGCATGGAGAGGAGAGCTCTGGAGTTCCTGTTCTTGTTTGGAGCTGCTTCTTCCATTTTCCTCCTGGTGCCAAAAGAACAGGGAGCAACTGGGAAGAGTCTCCTGCCAGGCACTGGATTGAGAAATCTCTGTGTTGAAAGGAACTCAAAGGCTTGGTGTTCAGTCTGAACTGAATGAATGGCCAGAACTGAACAGTGAAATCCAGGTGAAATTGCCACCTGCAGAGCACCTGCCCAAGTGATGTGGATGCCCTTGGATATGTGTGGAAAATCTGGAGTTCTGTTATCAACTCTCACTTGTGGAGACATCAGAAGTCCTCACATGACCCTTTGAGTTCCTCACACTTCCTGACAAACTGTCACATGCTGCTTCTTATTTAAATTCTTCAAATTCAACAATAATCTTTTGTCTTTTCAGTTTTCATAGTCTATTTTTTTTTCCATTTTCAGCCACCTTTTTTACTCTTTTCCCGTTCTCTTGTGCTGCCTGTGGAATGAATCCATCTCCTTGCATTTCTCTGCAGAAGCATGAATTTATGTGCCCTGTCTCCTCAAGGATTTGTTCTTATTTTTCTACTTTGTAAACAAGATTCACCACACTTCATAAATTTTTATCCCCTTTGGAAATTGAAATTGTTTCTGATGTTTAAACCTGAAAGCTATTACAACTTTGGCTGCTCTGAAAATCAAAGCTTCAGAGTTGTCAGATTTGGTGATTGGAATTTTCTGGGGATTATAAATGAATGCTTCTCTCTTAAAGGACAACACAGACTAATACAGTTTTTTTTAAAAAAAGCAGAATAACAGGGCAATATCCTTTAAATTTTGCCTTTTCTTTAGTCAGACTATGCTTATTCTTTCTTGTGCTTTTCATCCCTGAAATACTTTCTCCTTCAGCTGCTTTTTTGCTTTGTAAGGTATTTTAAGGCTGCTTTGATGCTGGTGCTGTGAAATCTAAAGAAAACCATGAAGTGGTGGGCACATGGAATGGGGTGTTCTTAGCCACATGATCTCTGGTTTGGGGTTGCTCAAGTCATTTTTCTACCCATCATTATGACATCACTATCAGTAAGCAGTCTTGTCATGATTAAGCAAGGAAAAGCCAAGTAAACAGACACTATTGTGACTTTCCCTCTGCAATTCACCCTCCCCATGTCAAATCCCTCTTCATTAAACTCATTCTTGTTTTTTTAATCAGAGCTCCAATACCTGAAGCTGGTGCTTTATTCTGAATATGCACATCATGGGGATCCCAGAGTTCTGCTGCACTCTGAGGTGCCCCTTGGCTCTGCTGCTCTCAGCTGTCCCATTTGAAATATTAAATCTAGATGTTTCCACTGAAATGTCTCCTTCCTGAAATAGCCAGACAGAAAAGCCAACCTTGTCCTGGGCTGCATCAAAACCAGCAGGGTCAAGGAAGGGATTCTCCCCCTTTACTCAGCTCATGTGAGACCCCACCTGGAACTGTGTCCAGATCTGGAGCCCCCAACATAAGAAGGACATGGAGCTCATGGAGAGAGTCCAGAGAAGGACCATGGAGATGAGATCAGAGCTGCTCCAGCCCTCTGAGCAAGACAGGCTGGGAGAGTTGGGGCTGTTCAGCCTGGAGAAGAGAAAGCTCCATGGAGACCTTAGAGCACCTTCCACCTTTCTTAATCTGTAGAGTAAACTGGAACCCTGTGTCCCTGCTAGTTAAGCTGAGTGATTGTGGAGAACACAGAAATACTGAAACTAGGGAAGAAACATGTGAAGATCAACCCTGATGTTGTTGGAGATCATTGGTTGCCCAGCATTACCTGCTCATTTTGTACTAAAAAATCATAGTCTGATGCATGTGAACAGTCCTAGAAATAGTGCTTCCCATTCTCTTTCCAAAGAGAGCTTTGTCTGCATCATTCATCACCTTTACTTTCTTCTTCCTTACCCCACCACAATGAGGTATTTAAAAATAGCTTTATCCTGGTCTGAGCCAGTAGCTAAAGCTCTGTCCTGCAAGGAGGATCTAGGAGTGCAACTGTTTTCAAGAAATGATAAACAACAGATCCCTGCTTCCTGTGCCAGGGCTCTAAAAAGACTGTTTGAGAGAGACTTGCTGGTGCTGCCTCTTAATTTGAGACTTGCCTGGTGGGAAATAAGAAGTAAACTGAAGTGTGTGTCAGCCACCTGTGGAAGAGATTCTTTGGTATAAGAAACATCAGAGCTAATTGATCTGCAGGTGGAAGGTTCTGTTATCAATTCCTAGAACAATCAAGTTCACAAGAATCAACCACTCTGTAATATAATAAACACTTTCCCTGAAAAGAATGAATAATCTTGAGTCCCCTTGAGGACACTTCAGGGTTTGTGCTTCCTGGGACAGAGGGAGAGTGTTCCTAATAATAATAATAATTCTGACATTGGATTCTAGCAGGCATGTGTCAGTGACTCCTTCATGGTGGTGAACAAGACCCAGCTGTGACTACTAACTCCCAATCAATTTTAATTCAGATGATAATTTCTTCAGACACTGCAGACTGACCTCAGGTTTATACAACAGAATTGTATCTACATTCAAATAAATCACACATCCAACCAATATCACTTGAAAGCTTGGGACAATCAAAATGTGCTACATGAAGGGAAAGCTCAATGAGCTGTTACTGAGCCACGATCATTCATCTCTTCCACAAAAATGGTGCCCCTTGTTTTGATGAATTGTGACAGCTCAAAACTCCAGGAAAGCTGGGGAGAGAATTTTGAAAAGGGCAGGGAGGGAGAGGATGAGGGGGAATGAATTAAAACTGGAAGAGGGGAGATAGGTGAGACATGAGGAGGAAATTCTGTGCTGTGAGGGTGGTGAGACACTGGAACAGGTTGCCCAGGGGACCTTGTGGCTGCCTACTAAGCTGCAGTTGGTTTTTCACTTGGGTAAGTATTGTTCTGTCAGCTTGAATCACTGATCTGCTTCTGCCCCTTTTATTGGAGCACTTCTGTATATATTACAGTGCTGTCAGTGAACATTTCTCCAGCAAGAAGCAGCAAAAGGCAGGAAAAGAATAAGCTGGAAAGACCAAATCATGTTGTAAAGTAGCTTCAGATCTGCTGGTTTTCAATAGTTTGATCCTAGGTAGGTTCATCAATAACAGGTAATGGTTGCCTGGGACAGGAGAGTTTTGGGATTAAAAACTTTCCCTGAAGAAGGAAAATGAAGTGAATTAATGGTGTAAAATAATGGCCCTACAGCAGAAATGAATCCCCATCCCTTCCACTGACCCTAGGATGATGATAACAATTGATGAATTTCTGGAGAGTGTCAGTTAAGTGTGTTCTCAGGCATGTTCTAGGTGTGTTTCGGTAGAAATGATTACTGTGAAATGGCTGTTAATGAGGAGAGACAATGATTGTTTCAGCATCTGAAAGGGAGAAGATGGGAATAATGAGAAGGAGGAGAAGACAGATGGGCTTATAATAAAGGCTGATAATTTTCAATTCATTCCTTGTGTGCTCATCACTGCAAGGATGACCTCTGCAAAGGTTTAAATGGCCAGTGATGGTGACTTTCAGGTGGTGAAGATGTAGAAATGTCTGTAAAAGGGAAATACTTATTAGTAAGAACCTTGATAAAGGAGCCTGAGAATCTGCTAGAACAACTTCATGTTTGGCTTCCAAGTGGGTCAACATCAACTGCAGCACCTCCTGGCAGGCATCAGGGGGGCTGCTCTGCTGCTGCCACCTCTGAGCTCTCTCCAGGATGGGCAGCAGGCACAGCAGGACTACCTGGATTGATGGGAAATGTAGGCAGTCCTGCTGGTGTTCTCTCCAAAACACCAGTGACTTCCAACCCCACTGACTGCCCATGAATGCAGTTCCCCTGACAGACCCAGCTGCTGCTTCTACCCAGCTCCCCCAGCAAGGGTGCCACCTCCAAGGGGATGGGAGATAAGAGATCTTCCTCTACTTTGAGGTTTGCCTGAAATTACTAAGTTAGTTGGTCTCTTGGCTGCAAGGTTGGGCTGTTGTGTCCTCCCAGTGCCTGAAGGGGCTCCAGGAAAGCTGGAGAGGGGTTTGGGACAAGGGCAGGGAGGGAGAGGACAAGGGGGAGTGGATTAAAACTGGCAGAGGGAGATTGAGGTTGGACATGAGGAGGAAATTCCTTAGTCTGAGGGTGGTGAGAGCCTGGTCCAGGTTGCCCAGGGAAGCTGTGGCTGCCCCATCCCTGGCAGTGTTGAAGGGCAGGTTGGCTGGGTCTTGGAGCAACCTGGGCTGGTGGGAGGTGTCCCTGCCCATGCAGGGGTTTGGATCTAGATGATCTTGAAGGTCTCTCCCAACCCAAACCAGACTGGGATTCTATGAGCTCAGCAAAACACCCCCTCCAATTGTTTTATGGTGTTTAGCAATCAAACTTAGTCACTTTATTCTCCCAGGGCTGTGATGCTCTGTATGTGCATCCTAGAAGATTAAAACTCCTCTCAGCAGTTTCTGTCTGCAGAGCCAGCCATGTTGTCTGACTGATCTGTTCTGCTGGAATGGGAATGTCTGTCCCTGCCACCACCCCTCCCTTTCTGAGCTGTCACATTTCTTCCTTGCTTGGCTGTGTAAGGCTTAGATTTTATAAGAATCTGGGGCCTTTTGGTAACATATCCTGCTACTGCTGCCTTCATCTGAAGGGGTTGGGACTTCTAATTTGCTTCTCCTTCTCAGTGCAATAACCACTGTTCTATCTTTCCCCATTTGCCCTGAACTGCATTTCTCATCACCTTCATCACACCTGACATGACATTGGTGTTTCCCTGCAGATTTTGATAAAACCCACAACCTGCTATATTCAAAAAAGAAAATCAACACACCACCCTGTGCAGCTTTACCCTCATGGTTGCTCCCTAATACTATGGGATATGGCTGTACTTCCCAGTGTTTTTATAGACCTTTTTGATCCCATTGGCTTGGAAATGTGTGAGTTTATCCTGGTTTCCTTGGTGCTTTAGGAAGCTGCAGTCATTCCACAAACCACTTCTATTTCATGGAGTATTGGTTGAAAACCAAAGCCTGCTTTCCAAACAGAGCCCCATTTTGTTCTGTAGCAGCAGGGATTTGGTGTGGATTGAAGACAAGTGAACTCATTTTCAGAATGAGGTCCCAGCTGGGGATGTGTGGTTGATTTCCAGGGCACTATTTGACCTGGGTATGTGCTTTATGTCCTGACCCTCATGGGTAAATGAAGTAGAAGCTCCAATGTTTTGTTGAAGAACTTGTTTTCACTAAATACTTTAAATGCTGAAATTTTCTCTCCTCGTTCTGCCCAGGAGTGTCCTCACCTGTAGGACCATCCCTTTAGCTACTTGACTGGGGGTTGTGGCAGCTTTTCTGATTCAGTTGGTTTCACCTCTTGCAGGAATCAGCCAACATGCTGCGCCTTATGCAGAACAGGCTGAGGGAAGAGGAACAACAGCACCTGCTGAAGAGTGGAAGTAAGTGGAGTGAAGAATGATTTTCTTATATTTAGCTTAAACCTCCTGTGCTCAAGCTTGTGATCATCTCAATGATAATGTTACAATAATCTCAGGATTCTAGTCACTGGAAAATATACAGATTTTAGCACAAAAGGAAATGAGGAATCACAGCAGAATTGGTGCAGCATCACTGACCAGCTTTGCTGCCCAAGTTCTTCAAAAGGTTCAGTGACATTCACACTAGGAATGAGAAGCACTATTTGGGATGGAGCTCCTGTTGCAGAGGATTCCCCAGAGTCCTTGGTCAGGCAGTTAGGGATGTTCTTCACATGTCTTGTGAGCACTGTGTGTATGGTGGGGAGATGTGTGAGAGTTGGGGTGTTCAGCCTGGAGAAGAGAAGGCTCCAGGGAGACCTTAGAGCAGCTTCCAGGGCCTGAAGGGGCTCCAGGAAAGCTGGGGAGGAACTTGGGACAAGGGCAGGGAGGGAGAGGATGAGGGGGATGGGTTAAAACTGGGAGAGAGGGGATTGAGGGTGGCCATGGGGAGGAAATTCTTTGGTGTGAGGGTGGTGAGAGCCTGGCCCAGGCTGCCCAGGGAAGCTGTGGCTGCCCCATCCCTGGCAGTGCTGAAGGGCAGGTTGGATGGGGCTTGGAGCAACCTGGGCTGGAGGGAGGTGTCCCTGCCCATGCAGGGGGGTTGGATCTAAAGTCTTTAAGGTCCCTTCCAACCCAAACCATTGCATGATGATGTAGAATTAAGTATTTCCAGTAGTACAGAAATGTGAGTTTGTTGGGGTTCTTTGTGATGAGAGGTAAGTAAATAGCTGGTAGTTTTGTCATCTGTGTTTCACATCAGATGCTCTCAGAGAAACCAGTGTCCAGGGAGATTTGAAGCTCAGGGCAATTGTTTGAAACTCAGGGCTTGGTTTTCTTGTGCTTAATGGAACAGGGACTCTTAAAACATGGTATTAGACACTATTTGGTGAGCACTGGGAGGGCTGTTGTTGGTAGAGCTGTTGTCAGGTGAGGACATGTGAAGAACTGCTCTGCTAATGGTTTGTTGTGAGAGGAGAGGGCTGGGGGGTCACTGACCACAGCAGCAATTCAAGGTGGTTTTTCAGGTTCATTCAAGGTTAAAAAAAGAAAGTGCTTGAACAAAAAGTAACAAGTGGAAATGTTTCTATACTGAAAATAATTTATTTCAGCCTAATCAGCTTTTATCTTTTCTAGACCTTTCTATTTTACACTGGATTTTCTCACTTCCTGTCTTGTAAAGATATGGTGTTTTTTTTTCCATTTAAATTCAGACTATTTCAAACTACAATGAAAAAGAAAATCTTTTGGTTTCAAATGATAAAAATAATCCCTTTTGAATTTTCCCAAATGTTTTCTTTGAGCTAACACTCAGAATTTGATTTCATTTGGCAAAAGTATTTGCTGTAAAATTATGGGTTGTTTTGGTTTGTTTTTAATTGAATGTGCCACTTTCTCATGTGCTGCTTGGTCTGTGAGGCTGAATAAACACCCATGTGCCACAGCATTTTGGAATTTGCACTCCTTCAATATTCTGCAGCAACAGCAATAGGGTTTAACTGATGCTACTGGAGAGCAAAGAAATGCTGTGTTAACATGAAATAAATGTTAAACAGAGCAAAGAGATGATGTGCTTTGGAGAGCAAATCACAGGAGGCTGTTGCATTTTGGTGCTGCACTGGATCTTTTGTGCCCTTTCCACTCCAGAACTGATGTTTCAGAACCTGACAGCACTTCAAGAAAAAGCCCCATTGCAGCAGTTGTGGCATTTGAGGGTGCAGCAGGGAGTTGCTGGATAATTCCCACAGGACAAGATGCCTGGATGATATTGCTCATGCTCAGCACTCTCTCCAGCAGGCTGCTCAGACAATCCATCTTCTTGTACCAGACACTTGGAACTTGTCCACAATACTCTTGTGTTCTGCTCCTTAAATAATTGCAAATTCATGGGCTAATTTAATTGCACTTGGATGGATTCTTGGCTTTTAAGATCATATGGTCACTGACTATGACCTCTCTATAAAATGGGCCAAAAAATTATCTTGGCTGCTTATTCCTGTGCCAAGATTCCAAACCCCACTTTAAATGGAGCTTGTCACCAAGAGTTATTTTTAATAATTCCAAGCTACACAGACCTGTATCTTCTCTGGGCAGTGATTAATCTTCCTGAAAAAAAAATAAATTACCATTTCAGAATGACCAAGGGAGGTGAGAAGGTGCACTTAAAGCAACTGGTCCCACCAGACCAGGCTGCTCCAAGCCCCATCCAACCTGGCCTTGAACACTTCCAGGGATGGGGCAAAATCCAAACTCTCACCATCAATCCCTGACAAGATTTGTTTCCAAGTCACAACTCAGAAGTGATCCCCTGGGTTTCTAGGCTGATCATTCACCTGGTTCATCTTTTCTTCATTTGCATTGAAAGGTAATCCAGGATTTTTAAAGTAGCTGGAACCCAAGGGTGCTTTGGAAGACCAGGGGTAGAGCTGGGCCACAAGGCACAGCTTTTGGGAGCTTCTGTGACATCCATGTGTGGGCTGAACCCCAGAAAACTGCAGCTCCATCACTGACAGGCAGGACTTACAACATCTGAGTGAGTGGGGGAGAAGAATAAAAGAAATGGTGTGAGAAAGAGGCTTGAGAATAGCAGAGAACCTGGGAGAAAGAACAAAGGGGTTAGGTGAGAGGAGGGGAGGAAAAAAGCTGTTTAAACATTTCCTTTCATAAAGCAGCAGCTTGGAGTCTTCCAGGCACTGATTCTCCCTCCACAGTAGGTATCACTGCTATTGCAAGGCACTTATTCACCCTGGAATCTTCCTGCAAGTCCCACTTTCCAACACAAAAAGACTGGAGGTATTTGTGTGATGAAATGAGCTTCCTTTGAGTGAGCTGAAAAAGGTTCACGTGGTCCAGGAGAACATTCAGCCCTCACTGTGAGGGTTAGGAAAGAGCACTTCTATCCACAGCAGGAGGTGGCAGATTCATTCCAGTTTATTCTTCTTACCATGGCTTTGTCCCAGGGGAAATAGGTTTTACATGTTAGATCTGAGGGTCTGTTACACACACAAAAAAAACCCCCAACACATTTCCAGAAAAGTGAAGTGTAAAATTGAAACCCAGAGTTGTTAGAGACCTGTTCCCAACCAGAGCAGAGCTGTGTCCCTTTGCCTGTCTGCTCTAAGTCCTGTCCCCAGAGGGGTCTTACTGGGTTTGACACTTTGGGTTGTCATTGCAGGGCACTGGTTCCATTTATCCCCATCTCAGCTGGCAGGTTGTGCTCAGGAGGTCCCAGTGAGAAGCAGAAGGTGCTAATGGGGATGGAAAAGAAGTGGTTTGGCAAAGAAATCCTAAGGGCTCTGCAGCATCCTCAGCTCTGGCTGGTGGATGCACAACAGGAGGAGCACAAAGGACAATCTCTGAAAGGGAAAAATGTTTGCTCAGAGAAAATGAAAAAGAAGGGGGGAAAAAAACTAACCCACAAAGTAGGAATGAGGTTGTTTTATTAGTACCAGTCAGAACCATTGCAGGTGAGAGTCTCATTCTTCCAACAGAGAGAACACAAACCTGAATCCTTTCTTTAGGTTCCATGTGGCTCTTCCCAAGGAGTTTGCCTGGGCAAGAGCTGAACAAAACCCAAAAACCTCCCTTTCCTGAACACCAGGTAAACAGAAGCAGTCTTTGGGTCACACAGCAGTGAGTGATGCCTTCACTTGCCCAAGAACAAAAGGGCAACACAAATAGAAATTGTACCTAACATTGCTGGAGCCTCATAATCTTACCAGGGCATCAAATATATCTCATATTTTGTCATTAGCTTCATATTGTAATGAAAAAGATTATGGGGAAATGTCTAATATTTGTCTATTGTCCAATAATTAAATATTGCAAAGATGTGTCAGCTCATTACTAATGGTAATTAAAGTAGTTCTTTCCATTTTCAGCTCAGACATGTGTGTAATTAAATGTACCTGAGGAAAAAATTGCCTAATTTCTCTAAATAATCAACAGCTCTTGTTGCTGTGCTGGGTGCTGGCCTCACATGGAGTCCTTGGAGGGGTTTGTCATAGCAGGGCTGATTCCATAAGCTTTTGGAGAGAGGCCCCCACGTGGCGTCAGCTCCAGGCTGTGGGATCAGCTGGTGTAGAGGGGCTTATTTCTCCAGGAGGGAGAAAAAATCATAAGGTGGAAGGAGCTGAGGATCAGGAGTTGAATGTTTGAAGAGGGAAGTCAATAAACCTAAGTGGGCAGGAGCTGGAAGTGGAGCTTGGTTTTGGTGAGCCCAGGAGCTTGCACAAGCAGGTTGGCATGAACAAGGGAGAAAGAGATTTAAATGGAGCAGGGTCTGCTCTGAACTTTCCACCCACTGTTTTACTCCAGAACAGGTTCAGAGGGGAATCACTTTGCTTGACCATGTGTGTGAGCCTCAAGGTGACCTGGAGAACAGTCCTCCCTTTTCTTTGCAGGCTCTTGGAAGTATCTGAAGGCTCTTTTCATAGTTTCAAACATCTGAAGAACAATTTAATCTGAAGTCTGTTAGGTTTGTTCCAATTTGCTGGCTGGGGAGTTGGGAGGAAGGGACTAATCAGGGTTTAGTTTGGATAGAAAGAGAATACCAGATCATGAAAACACTTGAAATTCCTGCATCTTGGGAATCTTTCTTGTCTTCCAGGCATCTTTGGGCTTGGCTGTAACTGCTTTCATTTCTCTGAGGACACCTCATTGTGTTTTTCTAACCTACAATCAGATGACAGGCAGACTTGAACAGACTGCTGGCATCTCTGGCATCCAAGTGCTCCTGTGGGTTGGCTTGGGTCGTGTTTATCAACTGTTTGGGGTTTTTTTTTCCATCAGATAGTGATGATTCTGACATAGAGATTCAAGAGGATGAAGGATCCAACAGTGAAGTAGAAGACAAGCGCAACACAAAGCAGCACGTGGCCATGGAAACACTGCTGCAAGGTAATTTCCTTAATTGCCTTTATTCAGAAGGATGTACTGGAATTCTCTGAGTAATCCTAAATGTATTTATTGGTTGCTGCTCAGTTCTTGTGAGCTGGAAGGGGATAGTGTCAGTGGGGGGGGAAGAAAAAGTGTTTTCAGGGGAACAAATTAAGGATTATACATCATAAAAAAGGACCACGCGAGGAAAATCCTTCCTGGGTTATGATTGCCTTGCAGATTCTGAAGTAGCTTCATGCAAAGCCTTAGAAAAATAATAGTATGTCTCATTGCATTTCTGTCCCTGGAGCTGTTGACACTCCTTCTAGTAGAGTCTTCTTCAAAATACCTATAGTGAGTCCATCAATGTGTCGTGGGTGCAACACACCTGTGTTATTTTCCTACAGGGAAAGGACATCTGGTTTCTGGTGCTGTTCTTGTGGGGTGGAACCTGCAGCCTCAAGCTGCTGATTCCACTAGGGCCCTGGGCTGGAACAACTCAGAAATGACTGTCTGAGGGTCTTTGTTTTCACTTAGGTGGAAAAAGAAACCTTCTGCTTAGTCTGTAGTAGAGCAAAATGAAACCAGAAAATCAGATTCGTTTTGCTTGGTGTTCTTGTTAGTGGTGAGTGATTCTGACCATCAGCAAATGCCTCTCTGGGTCCTGGATGAGATGCCTGTGTGGATAATTTAAGGTGCTGCTACTTCTTCCTGAACTTGTTACTTAGATAAACTTTTAATGTGTGGGTTTTTTTCTGAGTTCCGTTCTGTTCTCCCCTCTCTGACCAAGACCAGAGCAAGAAGCTGAAGTTCTCAAGTCAGTATCATTCAAGTATTTTTCTCCTCAGTTTTTCTGGTTTTTTGTAAAGCTTGAACATCCTTGAAAAATGCTGGAAACATCACTACTCAGGAAGGATATTTCCATGGCAGTTTCTCATGGGAAGGGTTTTTATGCTGGTTTGAGAGCTTTGGAGGCTCTCAGGCTGTGGTGCCTCAGCTCAGAGGGCATCATCACCTGGTGCTGTGGGTACAGGCTGCAGCCAGACTCAGCTCTTCAGATTTGTTTTAGGAGCAAAAAAACTTAATTTAAAAACTGTAGATTTTGTTCCAAGTAGCATTTCTTCTAGAAAGAGCTTTGTTATCATTAATTACACTTACCAGAGACACAGGCTCAGCTTGTCAGGCTTAAAGCAAACAGTTACAATCCCTGAGATGTTTTGTCTGCTGTGCTGTTGGGGTTGGTTTCCATGCTTTTGTAGGTTCCTTCCTAGTGTCCAGTAAACTACTCCTGGCAGATGATGATCCTCTGACTTGTGCATACTCTGAACATGCTCTTTGCTGACTGCATGGTCACCACCCCAATCTTTCCTCTCCCCAGCTGTGTGAGCTGGGGGCTTTACCTCTCAGTCCTCTTTCTGCCTCTCTGTGAGCTACTGAAGCAGCTGTAGGTGTGTCAGATGGTTCCTGAGATGCCTTTCCTACAGGTCCTCTAGAAGGAGCAGGGTTTTATTCCCCCGTTTGAACTCTGCAACCTCTGCAGGGAGAGCTGGATACAAACGTGGTTAGACCCTCAAGGGAAGGATCGTTGGGTGACTTTCTGTTTGGCTAAGGTTACTCATCACCATCCTGGGCAAGTTGTCCAGGAGCTGGAGCTGGAGCTACACTGTGAGGTTGACACTGGGCTCTCTGTCTGTACCACTGGCTTTGGGTCAAAGTGTCTCCACTTTTTGTGTATGGAAACTCAGCCTTGGGGTATCTTTGCTGGTGTTGATTGCACTCACTCAGTCCTGCCCATTTTTACCTGTCCAGAACATAGGAACCAAAGCTTGGACTCTTATCAGGACACAGCAGACAGGCCAAAGCTTCCTGTGGAGAGCCCCATCCTGATCCAGAGTTATGGTCTAGCCCTGAGAGCAGGCTCAGATCTGCCCCTCTCCATCTGTGTGAACAGGTCCTTCATCAATAGTGAGGCCCTGTGTTTGACTGTGTGACCCTCATCAGCTTCAGTGCTGGAGACACGTCAAGACTTGACAGGACACCCACCCCCTTTGTTCAGCCTCAGAGCTCGGGAGAAGGTAGAAGAGGATCAGGCTGACAGCAATTCCAACCAAGATGGTACTTCCAGAGCTGCCTTGTGCCAGTGTGACAGTTCTGACAGGCCAAGAGGCAGTGGATGTGCTGACAGGGTGAACTTTGGGATCTCAGCCTCTCACTGCTGTTTGATGAGTCCTCTCCAATGGAAACTCTGAACCTGCTCTTTCATCCTCCCCCAGTATCAACCAGGAGCCAGGCCTCATGCTGATTCTCTTTGCTCTTGCAGGAAAAGCTGGCACACGGGTCGTGGGGACAATGCAAGGTGGAGACACCGAGGAGGATGTAAGTGACCATCCCATCTGCCTGTAGAGCTTCTCCAACTTCAGACCCTAGGCCTGCTTTTCCCCACCTTTCCTGCAGCTGACTGCTCTGCCATCTGCAGAGACACATTTCCCTATTTTTCTGTTGCTCTTTGAGTCTCTGTGCCCTGCCCAGTGCTTCAGCCTCAGCATGCAGACCACACCTGGTGGCACAGCTGCAGGAAAGCTGCTTCCTTCAGCTGCTGGGAAAAGGGGATCAGTGCAGTGTAGCAGGACTTGGATGAGTGGATCTAAACCACCTGCATTGCCCAAAAACCAGATTCCTTGGAGCCCTCCTGTACTAACACAGCATCAGTCTCCAGCTGATGGGGCAGGGATGAGAGCTGAGCTGTGAGCCCCTTGGCATCCTTGCCTTGTGCCTAAAGCTGTCCCAGGGCTTTGTGTCTGCTTAGGGCTGACCTGCTGAGCAGACAGTAGCTCCTCAGGTTTGCAGAGCAGGTCCTTCTTCTGACTGCTGTGCTCAGCCTGGGGCACGTGAGGGCAACCTTCCTGTGCCTCTCTGTCCTGGGGCTCTGTCTGTAGCAGGAAGCTGAAGCCAGCTGCTCAGATGTGGTTTGCACCCATACAGTGAGCTCTCCTCACCACCCCAAAAAGGTGCTGGCATCCAAGCTCCCAACTAGGAGCAGTGTGGGGCTGCCCTGGTCCCCAGGGGATGCTGGAATATTCTTTTGGGGAGTGCTTGTTGGCACAGGCCAACAGTGTCCTTCCAGGGATGGGGCAGTCACAGCTTCCCTGGGTAACCTGTTCACAGAACCATAGAATGATTTGGGTTGGAAGGGACCTTCAAGATCATCTAGATCCACCCCCCTGCATGGGCAGGGACACCTCCCACCAGCCCAGGTTGCTCCAAGCCCCATCCAACCTGCCCTTCAACACTGCCAGGGATGGGGCAGCCACAGCTTCCCTGGGCAACCTGGGCCAGGCTCTCACCACCCTCACACCAAAGAATTCCCTCCTCATCTCCAACCTCAATCTCCCCTCTGCCAGTTTGAATCCATCCCCCCTTGTCCTCTCCCTCCCTGCCCTTGTCCCAAGTCCCTCCCCAGCTTTCCTGGAGCCTCTTCAGGCACTGGCAGGTGATCTGAAGTCCCCCTAGGTAATCCCTTCACAAAAGCCTATTACAGACCCCAGACCCTAAGGGAGGAGCAAAGCACTGGCTTGGATGAGAAAGCAGGAGTTAATGGTGGACAAGTTGTGACCTTGCACAGCTCCAGGGTCCCAAGGAAAGGGGACATAAGAGTAGCAGGAAGCTCCCAATGTTCACCACCACATGAAATATCCATTTGCCACAGCTGCTGGACACTGGCAGGTGAAGCTCTGGGCAGACTATTGCTCCTGCAGGCAGGCCCAGGACAGAGAAGATACCCCTGCCCATCCTCTCCTTTTCTCTGGAAAGGGACTTGCAGACCATGCTCTGCTCTTCACCTCAGCCAGCCTGGATATGGTTAAGGCTGTTTGCTGCCTTCTGGGAAATGATTTGTGTCCTTGGCATTCAGAAACATTTCTGGGTAAGGTCAGGAGTGCCAGTGCTGTAGGTGAAGGTGTAGTGACCTTAGGCTGACTGCCCTTGACCATGTTCTTGCCAGATTTGGATAGTCATCCTCTGCAAGGTCTCCTTCCTTTGGTCTTCCCTGTCCCCAGGTTTTTCCCATGTCTCCCTTTTGGAACAACCCAAACATATCCAGGTGTGGAATCCAAGGCCTTCAGCCTCTCATTGCCCTCAGCTGCAGCCAATTTTGGTTGTCCCATGGCTCTGCCCTCCTCATCTCAGCACAGCTGAGGGGCTTGCTCAGGGACTCTTGCAGACAGTCTGGAATCAGGGAAGAAAAGGAGTGAGGCTGGTTTGAACCCTCAAAGAGTTAACCCAGTTCTGGAGTTAAGAACAAGCTTCAGCCTGCCCAGGAGCCAGCAGTGCTGTACCTGGCTTTGCTGCCTTCTCCCCTGCTCCCATTTGGGTTACTTGCTGTGTACTTTTATGTTCTTGTGCTTTTTTTTTTCCCCTGCTCTGCCTCTCCTGCTCCTCCCACTCTGGTTCTCCAAGGGGAGATCTGTCCCAGCACGGCCAAGCATGCGCAAGATCAAGGCACAGGTGGGTTTCTCTGCTGCAGGCAATTTTCTTTCTCTATACCTCCATTTTTTTTGCTCTCTCCATAGGTAGCACTTGAAAGTTAAACACCCTGCAAGGGTTTTAATACCACAGATTCAGCAGAAGTCAGGGGGTTCATGTTACTCAGCCCCCTGAAGCAGGGAAGGAGGTTTGCAATAAATGGGATGGAGCAGCCACTGTCTAGCAGAGCAGGGAGCTGCTGGTGGAAGCCATGGGGGAGCTCTTAGCTCCCAGAGGCAGCTGAGCTCTGGCTTCCTTGTTATTTTGGAAGGCCAGCAGCACAGCAGCCCAAGCTGGAACAAAACCTCCTGCAGAATCTGCCGCTGCTCCCCAGAGCAAGTCTAAATCCACACCAGTTCAGACAAACAGCCTTCCCCACAGCCCCCAGGGTGGGTGACTGCTTAGAGGGCAGGGGATAAAGCAACATCAGCCAGCAGTGCTGGCCTTTACTTCTGAGCTGGCAAAGATGCTTTGCCACCTGAGAACTGACCTGGCCATGAATTCTGTTTGCTTTCCTGCTTGCAGGAGGACTCGGGGGATAGTGAGATTGATCTGGATGAAGATGAGGAGGAGGATGATGTGGAAGATGACAGCATGGAAATCTCCCTGAGCAAATCCAGTCACCGAGCAAGGAAGCCAGAGCCACTAGAGGAAAGTGATAATGACTTCTGACCCTTCAGTAGCAGGACCAGGAGGCAGCTGGAAGTACAAACTTTGCAGGCTGGGAGCTGATTCCCTGCTATTTGTAAAGCATTTGTCAGCATGAATTCAGGAGTTGGTAAATAATGTTCATTAAACTTGAAAATTAGACTTGGATTCCCAGTCATTCTGACTCCCAGAGCATGAGCAGTTGATCCATAATGAGAATCACAGGAACGTGGAGTGCAGTTATTTCCATAATTGCATTAGAACTGGCCCTGCTGCACTGCATTGCCAAAGAATCACACTCCATTGAGCATCATGTCCTTCATTTCCCTGCATTTTATTATGTCCAAACAGATACATTTCTTTTTGGCTTAATAAAACTGGATTAAAAGCTGCTCTGGGAACACACGTACATGGATTTTAAATCTGGCTTAAATCTGTTTATCCTAAATGTATCCTTCACTTCACCATGGACTTGCCTCCACGAAAAGAGGACCAGTTGCACTGAGAGAGTGGGGAAACAGGTGGAGGGGTCCTCAAATCCCAGCCTCAGTGCAGCACCTCTTAGGATTTCCCTGTCAGTGGGAATTTTCAGGCTTCAGTGGGTTGTGCTCGAGTCTTCTGAGAGCAGCTGCTTGAGACTCTGCTGTGACCTGAGAATCAGTCCTAATGAAATGAAATTAGCCCTTTTAATTCTGCTTGTATTTTCAAGGTGGGCTGAGATTTAGGCACTCAAACGGGCCAACAGTTAGGCTTTTGCTCACCAAGTTATTCTGGTTGTTCCATCATGAAGAGCTGGAGGTTTTTTGTGTCTTTTAGCTCCGCTTTAGCGTCGCAATTTTTCTTCCTGGGAGCAGAAATCAGTGCTGGAGGAGAAGAGTTCTTTTTGGTGTGTCTTCATCAGGGCCCAGGCTGTTCTCCTGCCCTTCCCTTTTTTTCCATCACCCCAGTATTTTGCTTTCCCTCCTTTTGAAGTCCAGAGTCAGGTCCAGCCCTGAGGGTTCTTTATTTCTCAGAGCCCTTCCAGATGGTTCCAGTCCTAAGCCTTGGGCTGCCTGACTCTTCCAAGAGGCTTTGCCAGACACTTCAGTCACCCTTGGCCAGCACCAGCCTGTTCTCAGGGGCAGGGCAAAGGCACAGGTCACACTTGCTGCGTAGGAGCCTGCTCTGAAGTGTCCTGATCCAAAGCAAGGAGACTCCAAACCTCTCATCTCTCAGGGATGTCAGGAGGAGCCTGCAGGACCAGGCTGTGTAGCCAGGTGAGAAGGAGCTGCTGGGAATCCTGCCCATGTTTCACCTGCTTCTCCCAGGATCCCTAAGGTGGAGAAGAGCTGGTGCTGGAAGCCCTGGAGCCCCACCTGGGGTGCTGCAATGTTTGCCTACAGCAACTGGGGCTGGGAGGAGAGCAGAGCTGCAGGGTAGCTGGAAGGCACCCTGGCAGGGGCAGGCTCTGAGGACACCTGTGGACATCACAGGAGGGGGTCCCTGCCATGGCAGGTAAGTGATCCACAAAACGGTGTATGGGTTCTGCCACCACCTCCCTCCTTTTGGCATTTCACCCATTCCTTGAAGGTCCCACAAGGTCTGGATGAACAGGGACATGGTTGCACATCCTCCAGGGAGTCTGGACCCTCCTGCACTGCTGATCCAGGGGCCCCAAGTCCTCCTGGGCCATGCTGGGGATGCTCAGGAGCTCTCCTTGCCCCAGCTTTTCTCCCTGAGATGGGTGAGCAAAGGGCCAGGCAGCTCCCTGCAGAGGGCCACTGGCCATAGGGACCCACTGGGCCACCTCACTGTGACCAGGCACCCTCACACCTCCACGACACAGTTGGGTGAGTTTGTCCTGATGGCATCTGAGATCATCTTGGCTCCTGACTGGCCAATGTGGTTCCCCTGCAGGCTGGGAGCAAAGAGAAGAGGAGTTCAGGCTTGGACACAAGGCTGAGCAGGATCCTTGGTGGGTACCAGAGATGTTCCCCAGCTTTGCACCAGCATCATCTGCATCCTCTCCATGCCATCCAGGAGCTCTGGCTGGGATACCGGTCACAAGGGAGCCCAGAAGCAGCCAGGTGAGACACTGGAGAAAGCCCCTGGGGAGCTGGAGGGACAGAACCAGCCTATCCCTCTGATGTTTTGGAGAGTATTTGTGTTTTGGGGTGGTTTTTCACCCCAGAAGCATCTCCACAGAGGAGCTGGGGGGTCTGGAGGTGGCAGGGATGGTGGCTATCACACCAGGAGGAGCCACAAGGTGCCCTTACCCTCTGCCCATTGGGGAGGTCCCTGTAGGGCAGCTGGGAATGGGCAGTGCCAGTGGTGGGGAAGGTCACTTGGTGGTTCCCATGGTCTCCCCCTGCCTTACTCTCCAGCTCAGGTGGCACTTACTTCACGTAGGTGAGGCCGTGGTTGCCCTTCAGTGCGGTGGCAATGCAGATGGCTCCATCCATGCCCAGGTTGTTCTCCTGCAGGCTGCAGGAGACAGGATGGTCAGAAAGCACCAGCCCAGAGAGATGTGGCCACCAGGAAGGAATGTATAGCATGAACTTTGAGAAAAACCACCAGCTCTGGGGTTTGCCCCACTGAGAGCTGCTGGCCTGGCCGTGTCCTTGCTGCTTCCTCCCAAGGAAGGTCTGGGAAGTCTTCCTGGTTCCCACTCCAGGGAGCTGGGTACTCACCTGAGCCAGCGGAGGCTGCAGTTCACCTTCAGTGCATTGGCCATTGCTTGGGCCCCTGTCACACCAATGGAGTTTCCCCTCAAGCTGCAGAAGAAGGCAGGTGGTGGGGATGGACAGCCCAGGACAACAGCCCTGTGCTGTCCATGGGTGAGAGGAGGAGGTGGGAGAGGTGGCCCCACACCAGTGAGTCAAGGGACAGGCAAGCCTAGCCTGGTAGGACATGATGCAAGGGTGGAAGCAGGTGCTGAGCTAAGGACCAGGGCCTTGGACACCCTCAGGAGGTGGTGTTGCAGCCATGGGGACTTGGTGTCTCCACTGAGCACTTACTCCAGGATCTGCAGGCTCTTGTTGACCATCAAGGCTTCTGCCAGGGCTTGGGCACCAGCTGCACCAACTGAAGCTGCCTGCAGGCTGCAAGAGAACAAGGATGTCATGAGTTGCCCATGGTGTGCTAATTAGAGAAGCTAATTAGACTGTGATTCCAGGGCCCCACCACAGCCTGGATACTCACTGGAGATCTGCCAGAGTTGTGTTGACCTTCAGCGCGGCAGAGAGGGCAGCCATTCCCTCATCTCCAATGGCATTCTCCTGCAAGCTAAGACACATGGTGGGGACACAGGATGGACTGGAGCACATGGAGGAGGCAGCATGTCAAGCCACCTCCCCTGGAGCAGCGTGGGGGCAGAGCCCTTGGGCAGGTCCTAGGAGGAAGAAGTTGCCCAGGACCTCCCTGCCCATGTCCTCACTTACTCAAGGCTGGCCAGGCTGCGGTTGGACTGTAGTGCCTGTGCTAGGGCTGTGGCAGCTTTTGCCTGGATGAAGTTCCACTGCAAGCTGCCAACAGGAGAGAGCAGGAGGTGAAGCCCAGCGCTGTGAGGATGCCCCAGTCCCTCCAGGCTCAGCACCCATCTCCTTCCATCCTGCTGGAGGCTGGGAGGTGACCCATGTGCAAGACCACTGGATCCATCCGGGATGGCACCACGCACATCCCATGGAAGGGTGACCTGTTGTCACAGCCTGGGGGGCCTGAGGTCCAGGAGCAGTGTCCCTGCCCCATGTCCCCACAAGGAGCTTCAAAACCAGCCAAGTTCCAAGGGAAACTCACTGCAGGGAGGTGAGTGCCCGGTTGTCCTTCACAGCTAAAGCGATGGCCTTGCCGCCCTCGTCGTACAGCAGGTTTGCTGCCAAGCTGGAGAGGGGGGACAGAGGTCGCAAGTCACACACACAGAGTTTAGGACAACTCCAGCAACACTACCCAGCACCGTGGGTGCCCTCCTGGGGCCCATGGGACTTACTCCAGCTTCCTGAGGGTGCTGTTGGTCCGCAGGGCACGGGCGATGGCAGGGCCCCCCTCCTTGCTGATGGAGTTCTCCCGCAGGCTGGGGAAAGACACAGGGCTGGGGAGGAGCAGCCAAGGCCTCCATCTCATCTCCCTCTCCCACTGGAGAGGGTCTCTGTTCCCTCCCTCTCCGTTCCCTCCCTCTCCATTCCCTCCCTCTCCATCAGTATCTGTCTCCATTCCCTGCATCTCCATCAGGATCTGCATCTCCCTTCCCTGTGCATCCCCCAGCCATGAGCACTGATGCCATCAGAGCTTTTTCCCAGCCTCCCATCCCAGTTCCCATCACTTCATTCCCAGACACAGCTGATCCGATACCACCCCGAGGAGAAGAAGCTAACGATGGAGAGAAGCCACTTGCACCCAGAAGAGGAGCAGAAGCTGCTCTCAGCATCCCAGAGCACTTGTGGAAACAACCAGGCACAAGGATAAGTTCTCCCATCCCATGTCCCAGCAGCAGCTTCTGGCAGGGTGGCTGAAGGGGTGTCACTTACTTGAGGCTGAGAAGTCCCTTGTTGGAGCAGAGAGCCCCGGTCAGCGCCGTCACCCCAGCACTGCTGATGGAGTTGCTCTGGAGACTGGGACACACAGGGAAAGGTCTGAGGCCAGTCCTGGCATCATGGGTGGGTTGAGGGGTTGTGTTTTTTGGGGAAGGGCCCTTTTGCCCATTTCATTGAGCAACAGGCACCTCCCAGCCATGGGAGACAGAGGGAACCAAGGCTGAAGGACCAACTTTGGGAGCAGCCAGGCCAGGAGCAGCATCTGCTCACCACGGCAGCACCCTGAGGTGACAGTGTTTGCCAGCACTTCAGGACACCCACGTCCCCAGCCGTGGCTGCTGGTTCCTGCAGTTTTGGGTCCTTGTCACACCCTAGCAAGCTGGTGATGGACCCAGGGCAGGGCAGGTTGTCCCCAGGAGCCCTCAGCCCTCTCTCAAGTGGGGTGGGAGGAATGGTCCTTTCTGGCTGCTGTTCCCAAGGGGCAGGAACGTTGCACCATCCCACCCTGGCTCTGTG